CCGCCGGCCCTGCGGCTGGTCCTCGGGTAGGCTCCCCCGCACGCGTCCAGGCCCGCCCGGCGTGGACATGGAGCGCCAGCCTCCACTCCTTGCCGTCACTGAAAGAAATGGAGCCGGGAAAGAGAATCCCACCGCGACTGCTTGGCAGCAAGTGGACGCAAAGGTGACACCTCCTGCGACTCCGCGACCAGACTGATAGGAGACACAGCACCCCAACGAGTTCAAGATGCACCCGGAACTGTGGGTGCCGCAGCTCTGCCGAGCACAGCTAAAGCTATCTTACCATTACCTGGGTTTATTAAATTCATAAAGTCAAAAAGTGAGTGGGTGGCGTGCCAATTGCTTCGCCGTTTGGGGGTGATGGGCTGCAGCTCTCTCAAGCTGGCAGTTTTCTGGGAAGCTGGTGGCAGCATTTGACTCAGGGACAGTAAGTGACAGGGGCTGGCATAATGACGATAAAGCACGTCTGCACCGCTAAACGCAGGCCTAGTCGGCCACCCTGCATCCCACTTTTCCCGGTTCCCTTCCCCTCGACACGGGAGCCCTGGAGTCACGTTTAACCTGACTGCAAGACGGGAGGGACACAGGCCCTCACGTCAACTTCAGGTGCTGGGTCCTATTTCCACGTGCTGAGTAATTCTCACAGTTTAATGGTGACTTCCTAAAACGTGTGTTTAGAGCATGAACGTTAGGTCTGGAAGGAAGCTACATCGTGTTTGGCAGAGGCGACTGGAAACTGGCTGTGGGTCAGGTCACACGAGTTTTATGCTGCTGTTGTGCACGTGTCCCTGTCTTTACACACCCACACGGACTCCTTCCTGTCAGTATATTTAGACAGTACCTGGGACGAAGCCTAGAGCGGCGTCTGGATGGTAAATGTAACACGACCATCGAGGCTCAGACCCCTCTGTACGTCTCTGGTCCAGTCACAGCCACTCCACTATCTAGCAGGGGCCTTCATGACCCAAGACGTGTCAGCCTGAGCAGGCACCCCAGATGTGAGACCAGGGATGCCCACGTGTGTCTGCACTGCACACTGCTTGGCAGTTATGCTCTGATTTACGAAAAATGAGTGTTTTGCATTGAACATAAATGGCAAGTTATTTTTTAAAGGCTCACAGAGCTGCAAAAGAGCCTGACGTAACAGGTGTTACTCCATGCATTAAAGTCTGGCCAATTACAGCCTCGTCAGACATAAAATGACAACGCTGCTCCCGCACAGAGCGACACTTTCTCGGTCACTGCTACCACCACCCATCAGAGTAACACTGAGCTAACAACCCTTAGTAGACCCTGTGGCCGTCAGATGGTCTGAGGCTTAATTTTAACCCCAGTGTCTCCCGGCTTTACCTCCAGAGCCTGGAGAAGCCATTTCTGGCTCCACCTGCCTGCAGGTAAAAGGACTCAGGGACTTGTTTAGTGGGGAAACTGTCACCAGAGTGGGGCCCATCATTTCTACCCCAACAGGGAAGATGCTCAATCAGGCCTGTCAGCCTAAAACACGAAGAATGACCTGGCCTTATCCCCAGTTCCCAGGCAAAGGCAGCGAGGCTCAGGGACAGGGGCCAGCTCCTGACTTCCTGAGACCTGCCCTCCAGGAGGCACTTGCCATCCACAGACACTGTGACAAACGCGCTGCACACTCTGTCCTCGCTGTAAGGAGGCAGGGATCAGAAGGTCGAGTCACACCACCGGTCAGAGGCAGGGTCGGGACGACCCAACCGTCTGGTTCCAGAGACCAAGCCAATCACCATGTCCCTTGGCTGCCTCTCAAAGCTGGAGAGCACCTCCACAAGCAGGTGGGTCGGGGGCACCTCGGGCAGCGACAGTCACCGCGGAGGAGCAGCGCAGAGAAAGCGGGAGGGACGAGCGAGGCGGCCAGGAGCTGGACCCGAGCAGAGTGGCCGGAGGGAGGCTGCAGACAGGTGGGAGCTGGACGGTGGGGCATTGGTGGCCTAGGAGTAACAGTTTCGCCACAGACGCAAAGGCAGGTGCCTAGGAGACCGTGAGCGCGGGTAGGATGAGGACGCTGGCCGCATGTGGGGGGCGCTGAGGGAAACGCACGGCGGGCCGGGAGGCGTCCGAGGTCAGAGCAGAGGAGGGGGAGTGATGTGGGCCGCAGGGCACAGGAGAGACATGGAGACGCAGGTGCCCAGGTAGAAGATTCATGTGGGACAGCGGGCACAAAATGTGCTGGGGACTTGACGTGACAGCGATGAGTCTAGGATGACTGCCAGGTTTCCAGCGACTGGGGAGCGTTGGCGACATTCGCTGCCAGGAGAAAGGGCAGCAAGTTTATCAAATGGTTGATGCCAGATGTTCAGTCTGAGACGCCTGCGAAAGGTCGGCTCAGAGAGGGAGGTGTGACAGGCTACCTGGCAGGCCGGGGGATGAAAGGCCAAAGCGAGGGACGCCGTCCACTGCCTGCGTGTCACAGTTCGCACATCCCAGGCCGGCCTGCTGCTGCCCCTCCTGCTGCCATGCCAGATCCCGCAAAGCACCACCTCCGTCCCACTGCCGAGTCCCCATGTCCAGTCTGCCCCGCCTGGACCCCCACCTGCCCTGTGGCCTCGCCGCCTGCTTGCGCGGGGGTGCCCCTCCCACGCCCGTTCTGCAGCCAGCACCAGAAGGCCTTCCAAACCACAGCTGACGTCAGACCCTGCACCCCGACTGCGAGTACGACAGGCCTCGTGCGTCCGGCCCACAGGCCCGCCTCCGGCCCTCACCTGCATGCCAGGTGCCCAGCAAGCCGCATGAGCTGGCCTTCGCCTTCCCAGCGAGCCTCTGCCCTTTAGTTCTGCTCACGGAGAGTGATGCTGTGAGCATGTCACAGTGGGGACAGTCTCCGTGAGGGGCCGAGGGGCCCACCCCGCTCCTCCTGACCGGCAGGCGCTGCGGAGAAGGCAGGAGAATCCGTCCATTCCCACCCCTAACGTGCTGCAGGAATTGGGAAGGGCAGCGAGCCCGGAGAGGAAGCCGTGTGGGAACGTCTGCACGGAGGCGGGACCCGCACCCTCTCGGCCGGCTTCCCCTGGGCGTCTCCCCAGTGTAATCAACCGCAGACCCCATGAAGGGGGCTCCCAGGAAGCGGGGGGGGGGGTGTGTGTGTGTGTCAGCAGTTGTCCCGGAGAGGTGGCTGGCGAGGGCCATGTGCAGGGAGGGACCGTCCTCTGCTGCCTCGGGGGGCTGCGCGAGGACGGTGGTGGCAGCCACCCCAGGGGCAGACGACAACGACTGAGTGGCAGAGGGGCAGGCAGGGCTCCTTCTGCGCCCTGTGGACAGAAGCCAGTCGCTGCTCCTGCCAGCAGGGGGAGCACGGTCACCGCTGGAGGAAGGCCCAGCCTGCCCAGTCTGCCCAGCCGGCCTCCAGCTCCTCTCCTGGCCTCCACTGGGGACCACAGAGACCGTGCACTCAGGTCTCTGCACAGAAGGGGCTTGTCCCTGCGAGGGCACCCCACAGTGTCCCCAGCCATGCCCATCACCAGGTGGGTAAGCTGGTCTGATTTGGGATAAAAGATTAGCAAACCAGGATGGCCACAGGTGCCCCACTCCTGGCATTTTTATGTAAAACGCCCACGTCTGATCTCCACTCGCGGTCACAGTGTGCGGGCTGCCAGCCACTGGGACCTTGAGACGTGAGAACTGGGTGCTAAACAGACCCCAGCACCGCTGAAGCCCTGGTCCTCTCTCACGGTCCCCTCATACGAGGCCTCCTGCTGACGTGACCGTGGGGACCCGATGCAGCATCACCCACTGCCCGTCTTGCCCCCTCACAGTGCCTGACCTTGATGACTGCCCCAGCTGTCCCAGTCAGTGACCAGAGGTGGCCGTGTGGCACTCTCCTAGCCCATGGGACGGGAGCTGAGGATCCCAGCAGATCCTGGTAGAGACACGGCCCCTCCCTGCTTCTCTGCTTCCTGCCGGACACCAGGCCACAGCGGGACAGCCTCCACCTGACTGAGGGGCCACGCGGAGAGCAAACAGCAGAGTGGAGACGGAAGGGGCCAGAAGCCACTGTCCCAGCCCCAGACTGCCCGATTCTTGGTGCAAAGGGCCCAGGAGTTGAAGCCACACCAGCCAGATTTTCTGCTATGAGCCAGCCCTGACGCAAGCCTGGCGCAGGTGCTGTGGACAGGCCTGCCACCAACCTGGAGCCGCCAGTGACCAGGATGGCCTCTGGTCCAGCGCAGAGGGACAGACGCGTGCAGACAGAGACAAGGACGTCTAAGTGCTCATAAACCGGGGGCACGGACAAGAATGACACGGGAGGGGGCTGGGTGTGCACAGGCAGTGAACTGGACATGGAGGAGGGGCCGGGGCCATCTGGGAGGAAGCGTGCTTCCCGCATTGTGACCCATTGCGACCGGAGTCGCCAGAGGGGCGGCCTGAAGAGACCCGCAGAGGGGGCTGCAGCGACGTCGGAAGGGGGCTCCCTGGGGGCCAGGCCAGACCCAGGAAAGCCAGTGGGGCGCCCCCGTGGCCGAGCGCGTTCCAGGGAAGACAGCGCGGGGCAGGAGCGGCTGGCAGGCCTGACCAGGAGGTGGGGCCGGGCCGAGAGGCGGAGGACGGACAGTGGCTGCGGCCATGAAGGAAGCAGGGCTGGGCTGCAGTGACGGTGTCGGGGGTCACGAATGCAGCTCTGAGCTGGCACACGCTGGGCGAGGGCAGGGGCACAGCAGGATGGGGGCACGGCCTCTGGGAGAGGCCGGCGGGAGCGGGAGGAGGAGAAAGACCAGCCCGGCTCGGAGGTGCTGTCGGACCCCGCTGGGGGCCTGAGAGAGACAGGGACGGGATGGCGGCCATAACCTTTGACAAAGACAGGTCACTAGTGACTTAGAAGAGCCACTTCAGAGGGACAGTGAAGCCAAACCCAAGCAAATGAGAGATTAGGACGGTGAAGACAGGTGTCCAAACCGGGAGACCCCAGTGCAAACAGCAGCCACCTTTCTGCAGACAGCCCCCTGTCCTCCCAAGCCGAGGTCTAGGCTCCACTCCGAGTTCTCAGCGTATGTGTGTGCGTGTGACCCGAAACATCCACGTCGGCACCACCAGACATCTCTGTGACAGCAAGGTCCACGTCTTGTGTGCTTGCACCCTCTCCCACCCTGTCACAGAGCCCCAGGGTGAGGGACTCTGGGGAAGATGGGCTGGGAGGTAGGGAGAGCCACGTGGACAGAAAGCCTGGGACTGCAGCCTGAGGGCCTGTGCGTCCACTCGGGCACAGGATGTGACTCAGACAGGTGCTCGGGTGCTGCTGCACAGAGGGCGCGTCCCCACAGGTAACCGCACCTGCACCCGGCAGCAGTGCGTGGGCTTGATGGGCGTGGTGCCAAAACAGAAATAAGCTGCCACCAAATCCATCATTCAAAAGCATCCTGGGGAATTCACCGAAAACTCAACAACTGCCCAGAATGTTTCGTAAGGGTTTCAAACGTAAAGGAGTGTCCAGAGAGCGACCCAGCACGGGCCCGGTGGGCTCGCATGCGGGAGGCTCAGCCCTCAGGAAGGGCCGGGACAGGTGGCCTGGCGGGGCTGTGACCGCGGGTCGAGGAGGCGCATTGAACCCTGTGCCTTACACCCGCCAGGGAGCGGCGGGAATGCTTCCTGCTGCCTCTGCATGGCACGTTCTTGTATTTTCCTTCTCAAAAGAGCCTCATTTTAAACACAAAATCACCAGAAACCCATCTTGTGATAGAGAACATTACACATCACATCGAAATCCAGAAACCGCCTCCTGAAGTTTTGAGTGAGAAGGTCACGACCAGGCAGAGCCACACACGCACCCAGGTGAGTCGTGAGGCAGGCAGCTAACAGACCACTGGTGAGCCGCGGCCGTGGGGGTGGCTTCCGCTGCACCCACCATCCTCCAAGCAGCCAGGTGCCGGGGCTGTGCCGGGACACGCGCCCAACCCTGAGGGGCCGGCCAGCAGCTGCGTGACCTGTCCCTCCTCAGAAGGTCCTTCTCTGCAGAGGGGACGCTCGGGGCCAGGAGCCAAGGCCCCCAGATTGCTTTCCACAGACTCTGTTCTTCAGTATCCTCCTCAAAGGACTAGAGAAGTTGGTCCGCAAAGTTTTAAAAACTGTTTCAATAAATAAAATAGAACTATTTTCTGTTATTAAAATAAAACACTGACTTTAAAACTAAAGACAAGTTGATTTTGCAAAGGATTAAAAAAGCAGAAATCCGAATCAGTTCGGCAAAGATGGGCAGATAAACCTCTGGGGCCCACGGGCCGTGTGCACGATTCCCAGCCTGCCTGCCATGGCAGCCAGACCCCCCGGGGTCCACTAGCTCCTGCTCCCCGGAGAACCGCAGGAGCGCGGGGACCTGAGCACCCACCTCCTCCCCTGCACCCAGTTCTGAAGCACACAGCAAACACTAGCGACGCTAGATGGTGCTTGGGGACCAGGCCCCGGGGCCACCAGGCTGCCAGAAGGACCAGCCCCACATTCTCAAATGCCCCCAGGAGCCAGAGAGAAGCCACGCTGGTGGGGACAAGCCTGCTGGCCTGCAGAACTGCAGGGGGGACTGGAAGCTCATCTGCAGATGACAGTCCAACTCCAGAGACAGTGTCACTCCACTCAACGTTCCCAATTGCCCCACTGTTGCAAATCTTCTAAAACAGTAACCTTTCCTAAGTTAAAAACCACCACATTCGATTGCTTTGCCTTTTCATTGTGAGAATTTAGTCCAAGGAGAAATCATCACATACACAGTTAAGCTGAATGTCAACTCGAATCCAAGCCAGGGAATCCGGAGCTGAAGCAGGAGGAGCAGTCAGAGTAAATCAGGTTGATCCGAGAGAATGGACACCGGGGGCGAAGACAAGCGGGCGTGTGAGGGCAAGAAACTCGACAAGGGTCACACTGGAGACACATGACTTAGACACACGCGGACCCCGCCCCGCGGAGACACAGGCCGCGTGACTTTAGTCACCGCGACACCTTTGGCATCTGAAGTATCTGAAACACAGTGGGAACTCAAAACTGCTTGCTAAAGGACTCATAAATAAGGAATGGAAAAGGCTTAACTTACAGCGCGAGGATGGGAGCCCGTGAACGCAAGGTGCTGGCGGCCCCTCGGGCTGAGGAAGGCCGCCGTCGCTGAGCCCATGTGAGCACCCGCACGCTGTGTGGGAACACGGCCCAAGCGGCAACCACAGGCCAGATGTGCGGTCAGCCACTGAAGGGCTCTGCGAGCCCTGCGCTTGCTACCTGCAAACCCGGTGGCCAGGGCAGCTCTTTGGGGACAATGCGCAGAGGAGGAAACA